CTCCCCGCGCTCTCCTGTCAGCGCACAGAGACGGCGGAGGCACGGAGTGAATGAAACTTCATTTATTCCTTAAATAAAACCTGAAGGCGGCTTGGCGTCGGGCGCAGCAACACACGGGAGGCCGCGGCAGGAGCTGCCCTGCGGCAGGACAGACGGCCTCGGCTGGAACAGGGGCCGCTGCCATCACCGAGCGTCAGCTCCCACCGCAGCAGGACAGGGCAGAGCCCCGCAGCTGCCGGGAGCTGCCGCCTGCACCGGCCCCCACGGATGAAGGCACGAGCAGTGGGGCCCAGAGCAGTCCCTGCCTTTGGGCAGAGCCCCCCAAGCCTTGCGGGCCTGGAGCTGGCCCAGGAGCAGCAGGGAGAAACCCAGGAGCATCAGAGAGGAGGTGGAGCGAAGCAGAACTCAGGAGACCCGTCGCAGGGACACCAGGCCCAGGGATGCCCGAGGACACTGGCACATGGGACAAGGGACACCAGGGGCTAGCAGGGACACAGGGTACATACTGGCAGCGCTGCACACAGGGACCAGCTCAGCCCTCCAGAAGGGAGGAGGGCTCAGGCCCTGGGGAAGGGACAGCCTCAGGGTGAAGAGTGCCAGGGGCAGTGAGGAGTGACCCTCAGGGCAGGGGGAGAGGAGGAAGGGAGAAGCTGTTCACCCCCCCACCAGAGGTGAGGAGGGAGCCAAGGAGGTACCAGGATCCCTCCTCAGTGCCCAGACCAGCTTTAGGGTCCACCATGTGCCAGTCCCAGATGGCTGTGGCCAGGCACACAGGCTGAAGGCAGGAAGCCCCACCAGCAGCACATGCTCCACTGCTGCCTCTCCGAGCCCTGCTCTCCTTATCCCTGCACCCAGAGCACGCTCAGCCCAGCGAAGGAGAAAGGGAAAGGACAGGGAAAGGGAACAGAGTAGGGCTGCCTCCCAGCTCGGCAACCTGGGGACAGAGTCAGCCCCTCAACTGGAGCAAGCCCCTAGGGGAAGAGGGGGACAATTTTCTTGGCAGAGAATCAGGTCCCACACCAAAGGGAAGGCAGGCAAAAGCCTCCAGGGAAGAGCCAGCCCCTGCACGCACTGGGACTGGGCACAAGGGGAACCTTCATGACCCAGGGCACACAAGTGGCATCACTAGGTGGGGAAACAGAAGAGCCCAGGGAAGGTGAGCAGCCATTTCAGTCCTGGTCCCTGTCACACGTCTGGAGGAGACACCTGCCCCCAGCAGCTGGTGCTGGAAGGGAGGGCGATGACAGGCACAGGGCTTGGCCACAGCACCTCCCATCCCACTCCTTCCCCAGTCCGCTGAGGGGACAGGACCAGCACAAACCAGAACAGCCTCCATCCGTGAGGAAAGGGGTTAGAGCAGCAGACGATTCAGGCACCAGCACTTCCAAGCTGGGATGAGGCAGCCTCTGACAGCTGATGCAGACACACGGGGATCCAATGAAGATGCAATTTGGATTTCCTCTTCCTTAGAAAGAGCCCACGTGTGATGAGAAGCCGGGGCCCCTGCCCAGCTAGGGTGCCCGGAAGGCATTGGTGGCGGCACCTGCAGCAGCGTTGGCTGCTGCAGTGCGTACTGCCTGGTTGGAGAAGACCCCCGCAGCAAACTCCTCCTGCGCTTTCTGGAAGCTGGCGCCTGTCCGGCGGTACAGAGAGTGGATCTGGAAGAGAGCAGCAGGCTCGGGGTCAGAGCACCAGCCCCGTTCTGGACTCCCAGCGAACAGAGCTGTGACCCCATGCCTGCCAAAACCCACCCTTGTCCTCCCAGTGGGGTGCTCTGTCCCCGAGGTTCAATCCAAACTCACCTTTTTCAGCATAATGATGCCCAACACAGCCACTGCTGTGAAAAACAAAGACACCAGGATCATCATCACAGCCACGGCCGTGTTCTTCCGCAGTGCTATCAGGCTCAGTATCCAGCCACTGCAAAACAAGAGGTGGTTGCCCACAGGTTCCCTCTTCCCCACCCGCCTCCTCCCTTTCTGGGGTACTTGGCCGGCTAGGGCTCCCTGGGGTCAGCACAACGCGCACCTGAATCCCCAGTTTGGTATGCCAATCGCCTGCAGCACGTACATCACGTTCTGGGCAAAGAAGACGAAGAAGAAGACAAAGAAGTTGAACGAACTGTCACTCCTGGGAGAAAGAGATAGGCGAGGTTAGGCCACAGAAGAGAACTTTCAAACCTTCCTTAAAGTGGGAGACACAAGGAGAAGACAAAGCTCAGTGCAGAATCACCCCATCCCCCAGACCCAAAGGCCATGAGGAGCTGAGACACCATCGGTGCTGCACTCAGGTCAAGGGCCTGTTTAACTGAGCAGCCCAGTCTCCCCAGCTTCAAGCACCAGCCATGCACCCCACCCCACTGCTTTGCTGGCCTGGGAGCTCAAGCAGATACACACCTGAAAGCTTTGTACATCGGCCTATACCAGCAGACAAAGGAGCAAGGTGTGTAGAGGAGAGCCCATAGAATGGAGAGGCCGAACCCGGAACCGGATGAGGGCTCCACACAGAACCAGGCCAGCGAGGACAAGAAATTCAGGAAGAGAGCAATGGTGCTGGCTGAGAGAGAGGACGTGGGTCAGACAACCCGAGCAAGGCTCCCCGCTCCCCACACCAAGGGCTCAGCCCCCCAGACCTAGGCACCACACGTTAATCACAACTTCTGCAGAGCAGCAGCGCTCACTCGCATGCAGGACACTTGTTCCTCTACCTCCTCCCAGGATCTGCCCTTAGGTTTCCCCCAGGGACTCACCCATCCAGAGGTAATACATGGTAGAAACGGTCTTCTGGAAGTCAGCAGGGATCTCCACCGGGATGTCTTGGTAGAAGCAAGGCTTCACTGGGCAGAAGGACGGCAGCGGTGGCCAGTTGTTCAGCCTCGCTGCAGAGAGAAGGAGAGAGCAGCAGTGCCCATGCAGGGGGGCCTGAGGGGAAGGTGGCCGCCATCCCTCCCCTGCCCCACAGGCCACTCACGTGCAGCACCACCGAGGGCCGCATTCTGCAGCTCCCGCTCCCGCCGGTCCAGCTCCTCCGCCTTCCGGTTCAGCTCCTCCTGCCGCTTCAGCAGCTCAGCCGTGGCGGCGGCCGCCGAGGCCTGCGGGGTGAGGAGGGAGGGAGAACGCAGGCTCTGGGGCTCCCACCTTCTCCCCTGTCCGCCCCGCAGAGGCCCAGCAGCTGCCTTCCCGCCGCCCCCCCGCTACCTGCGTGCCGTAAGAGCCGTAGTTTCGGGGCTCCGTGGGGCTGGCTTTCCGCGGGGGCTGCGCGGCCGCCTGCGGCGGGGGCATACCGGCCGCTGGCAGGGGCGGCAGAGCCGCCGACGAGGCCTGGTACGGCGGCAGCGGCTGCAGGAAGAAGAGGGGCACGGTAAGGCACCGCTGGTCGCGGGGAGGGCCCCGTCCGCCGGGAAGCGGCCCCGCCGCCCGCCCGCCCGCCTCACCGCGCTGCTCTCGAAGGGGTTGTAGGTGTCCAGCGCCGCGCGCTCGGGGCCAGGCCAGGGCTGCACCGCCGCGGGGTCCTGCAAGAGACGCGGCCGGTGTGACACGGGGACCGGACCGGACCGGACCGGACCGGACCGGGCCGGGCCGTTGCCGCCGCCCCCCCTCCCCTGAAGAGAACGCACCTGGAAG